TCTTTCTGTCTCTTAGAGAGCTCTTACATGTCATCCCATTACACTTTTAGTCTTTTTCTATCCTATCCATCAGGTCTGAATCACAGAATTTCAAATCTAAGAAATTACAAATAATCACTCCAAGATACATAGGTGATTCATCATACTCTAAAATATGTTAGCTAAATAAACATGATATCAAGAAGACTGGGCACAGTAACTCATGCCTGTAATCTCAGCACATTGGGAGGCTGAGGTGGGAAAATTGCTTAAGTCCAAGGGTTTGAGACTATCCTGGGCAACCATGAGACCCTCAACTCTACAAAGAATACAAAATTAGCCCAGCATGGTGGTGTGAGCCTGTAGTCCCAGCTACTCAGGAGGCTGAGGCAGAAGGATCACTTGAGCCCAGGAGGTCAAGGCCGCAGTGAGCATTGATCATGCCATTGCACTCCAGCCTGGGTGACACAGTGAGACCCTGACTCAAAACAAAACAAGTATAAAAATTTTAAAACCCTCTGCAAATCATATCAAGAATTTAAAGTATACCTGAATTGGAAATTGACAATTTAATCTGATAAATGTAAATACAAGATATTGAGGCTAAGATTAATGGGAAGACTATCAATAGCAATTTTATAGAAAAACAAAACAAAACCCAGCAAAGGCTCTGCTTCTCCTAACTCCCAATCCGTGTCCATGCTTGTAGGGATACATGTATCTTAGTCTCTGGAGAAATAAGTGCTTGAAATACTCAATGTTTCTAAATACACTCAGAAATGAAAATTATTGTAGTACCTAGTAAAGACTAAAGTAAAGATTCCATATACAATCACTATAGAGAACAGTTTGGATGTTCCCCAAACCAGAAATAGAGCTACCATATGATCTAGCAATCCCACTGCTGGGTATATCAGCATATTGAAGGAAATCAGTATATTGTAGAAATATCTGCACTCCCATGTTTGCTGCTGCACTGTTTATAAGAGCAAAAATTTGGAGGCAATCTAAGTGTACATCAACAAATAATTGGAAAAAGAAAATGTGCACATATACACAATGCAGTACCATTCAGCTATAAAAAGAATGATATTTTGTCATTTGCAACAACATGGATGGAATTGGAAGTCATGTTAAATGAAATAAGTCAGGCACAGAAAGACAAATTTCTCATGTCTGCACTTATTTGTGGGAGCTAAAAATCAAAACAATTAAACCCATGGAGATAGAGAGTAGAAGGTTAGTTACCAAAGGATGAGAAGGGTAATGAAGGGGTGGAGAGGAAGTGGGTCTGGTTAATAGGTACAAAATAAAAATAGATACAAAGAAAGAAGAAGACCTAATATTTGATAGCACAACAGGGTCACTATAGTCAATAATAATTTAATTGTTTAGTTTAAAATAACTAAGAGTATAATTGGATTGTTTGTAACACAAAAGATAAACGTTTGAGGGTATAGATATTGTTTTCCATGATGTGATTACTATGCATTACATACTGTATCAAGGCATCTCATCTTCCCCCTTTAGTATATACACCTACTATGTACCCACAAAACTTTAAAAGGAAAAAGAAACTGTAGTTTGAAAAAAAGTCTCTGATCTTTTAAATATATATATTGATTAAATAATAAGGAATTACAAAGGACTAAATTATACCTTATAGCCTCTTTTAAAAATTATAATATAAATATGAAATCAATGTAAATGTTTATGTATAAATAGAAAGGATTCATATTCTAGAATAGTATAAATAATGACACAGGTTAGTGTCAAACATCTCTGAAAGATAGACGGAAACAAAATTGAAATGAATATAGTAGCATATGGATCAGCTGTGCTTTACTTCATGTTCTTTGCTTGGAAAGAAATCAGCTTTTTCTGGAATCTTGGTCTATACTGAGTCATGCTGGGGCTTTTCTTGGCTCAAGGCTTCACTTTTTATTATTATCTGTTAGCAACCACATCTGGAAGAATTGCTTTCTTTTTCACCCCTAACATGGTAGCTTTTTGTAGTTTCCTCATGCTTTACAATCCTATTATAGAAGAATCATGAAACTAATAATATGGGTGAAAGACAGAATATACATTTCTTCATTCTGTTTTTGTGAAATATCTTTATAGTCTTATTTACCCATATCCAGGAATTTTTTTTTGTTTTTGGAGACAGAGGCTTGTTCTATGACCCAGGCTGGAGTGCAGTGGCACAATGGCATGATCTTGGTTCACTGCAACCTCTGCTGCCAGGGCTCAAGCAATTCTCCTGCCTCAGCCTCCTGGCTAATTTTTGTATTTTTAGTAGAGACAGAGTTTAGCCATGTTGGCTAGGCTGGTCTCAAACACCTGACCTCAGGTGATCTGCCTGCCTCAGCCTACCAAAGTGCTGGGATTACAGGCGTGAGCCACCATGCCCAGCCCAGGACTTTTATTTATGGGATTTCAAAGCCCTCAATCTCTGATTGAAAAAAAAAATACAAAAACAAACAAACATATTCACAGAGAAAGATTTCTTCCTGGATGGCCTCATTCCCAACATGGTTTCTGTCATTCTGACTGCACCAGTCACTTGGTTCGAAAACTGTTTACTCAATTTTAGCTCAAGCAACTTTGACATCAATGAGCATAAACAATAAAAGTTTTAATTTTTTATTATTACTTAAATTTTAACTCAGTGTTGATGGCAGCAAAAGAATATAAATGCTGCTTCATTTAAAGAAAATATAATTTGAATGCATATCTGTAATATAAAATAATTGATATAGGTTCTAAAATTGAAGAGACCTAGATTCAACACATAGCTGTGACTTAACTGTGTTACTTTCGGCAAGTTACTTAATCACCTTAAGTTGATTTGCTTTTCTGTGTGATTAATAGTGTCACTTTAAAAATCCCATCACTTTTTCTGTTTTGAGACAGTCTTATTCTGTTGCCCAGGCTGGAGTGCAGTAGCTCAATGTCAGCTCACTGCAATGTTTGCCTCACCCGTTCAAGTGAGTCTCATGCCTCAGCCACCCAAACACCTGAACTTACAGGAATATGCCACCACAGCCAGCTAATTTTTGTATTTTTAGTAGAAATGGGATTTCTCCATGTTGCTCTGGCTGGTCTCGAACTCCTGACCTCAAGTGATCCACCTGCCTTTGCCTCTCAAAATTCTGGGATTACAGGCATGAGCCACCACAGCTGGCCTTCATGGCTATTTTTAATTTTTATGGACATAAACCAAATCTCTGGATAAATAATCTAACATTGATATGTCAGATGGCTTTCAGAGGACCATGAAAGTGAGATAAAAACAATAATCCAAGTTAATGACTTAGATATAGTTTAGACTAAGATGATATCAATAGGAATGCAGGCAAAAGAAAGCTTTAGTGACACTTTAAGAAAAGACATGACCAAACAACTAATTAAATTAAGGTCATTTTAAAATGGAAATCAGGTTATGTCAAATCTTTACTTAAAACTTTTTACTACCTTCTTATTGCTTTTAGAATAATACATTTCTTTAATCTGTTCCAGAACAATCTCACAGCTGAGAGAGCTGGAAAAACTAGACAATTTCTGTGTTTTAATTGTCTGAAGGCATCAGAGAGCTACAAAGACAGTGAAAATGTGGGGGAAAGATCTGAAATAAATCAAGTCCAGAGAAATGATCTAACTCAACGCTTGCTGCCAGTAACAAAAGTAAATTCTCTCTGGGGAAAGATAACACCCTACTGAGTCTCAAATCATAACTAAAATTTTTATTTATAATGTTTGGCAGTAAATCAGATAAAAAGAAGAAATGTATAAGGGCAAAAGTTGATTAAAATAAGTGACAGTGGCTCACTCCTGTAATCTCAGCACTTTGGGAGGCCAAGGTTAGTAGATCACGAGGTCAAGAAATTGAGACCAGCCTGGCCAACATGGTGAAACCCCGTCTGTATTAAAAATATAAAAATTAGCCGGGTGTGGTGGCCTGTGCCTGTAATCCCAGCTACTTGGAAGGCTGAGGCAGGAGAATTGCTTGGACCCAGGAGGCGGAGGTTGCAATGAGCCAAGATTATGCCACTTTACTCCAGCCTGGGCAACAGAGCCAGACTCTGTCTAATAAATAAATAAATAAATAAATAATAAGAGACAGATCCATAGATACCTAGATGTTGGTGTTACCAACAGGTGCTTCAGTCATATATTTAAGAAGCTCTACAAATCTCTAACAAAATAGTATAAAGGAAACCACCCCTAGACACATAGTCCCACTGCAAAAGCTTAAAACAAAGAAAAAAATCTTATAAGCAACCAGAGAATAAAAGACATACTACCTTCACAAGAGCAAAAGTTAGACTAACAGCTGACCTCCCAAAAAAAAAATGGAAAAGAGAATAAAATAGAAGGATATGTGTGACATCATGAGATTAGATAGATAGATAGATAGATAGATAGATAGATAGATAGATAGATATCTACATATATAGGCTTTTGTTCACAGTTCCTGGCTTATAACTCCCATATCCCTTGTTACAGTATTTAATGTTGGGGCACTTAAAACCACAGATATAGGCCTCAGAATCCCTTTTTCTTATCTCCTGCCTCCTTTCATCTGCTCCCCCTTTCCCAAAGTCAGAAATCTTCCCTGCCTTTCTGTCTTGTAGCTGGCCATAAAGACATTCTCTGACCTATCTTATGTGATTAGTGGTCATAAGACCTCCATTTCAGAAGGGGTCCTGCTGCATTCCCTGGAGGAAAGAATGCAGCACAGAGAGGACGAAAAGAATCTGAACCAGATAGGCCTTGCTGAGTTTTCCCACTCAGCCTATTAGTAGTAGATCATATGCTTTGTGTCTAATCACACTTCTACACAGTTGTCGATTATACCTATCCAATGAAGCCTCCATAAAAGGCATAAGAGGCCTGGGTTCAGAGAGCTTCTGGATAGCTGAATGCATTGAGGCTCTGAACCTCCTCCCCCATACTATTCCTTGTGCATTTCTTCACCTGCATCCTTTATGATATCCTTTATAATAAACCATTAAATGACTCTCTTGGCTCTGCGTAGTTACACCTGGCTTCACTTGAGTGAAAGTGCAAGTGGGAAGAGAGTGAAAAGATCTCCTTGGTATCTCAACTTGGTCTTATGGTGGCCTCTTTCCTTGAAGGATGCAACAGGATCAGGAGAAAAAAAAAAGCAAAGAAATAAATAAACTGATAAATATATATTAAGTTTCCCTGAATTCTGCAAGCCACTCTAGCTAATTAATCAAACCCAAAGATGGGGTATGGCAACTCCACATTGAAGCTGGTAGGTCAGAAGTTCCATAGGCCCAGACTTGTGATTGATGGAAGTCAAAGGTGGTCCTGGGTACTGAGCCCTAAACCTGTTTTTTTTTTCTTTTTGAAATAGTTTCACTCTTGTCGCCCAGGCTGGAGTGCAATGGTGCATTCTCAGCTCATTGCAACCTTTGCCTCCAGTGTTCAAGCAATTCTCCTGCCTCAGCCTCATAAGATAGCTGGAATTACAGGTGCCTACCACTATGCCTGGGTAATTTTTGTATTTTTAGTAGAGATGGGGTTTCACCATGTTGCCCAGGCTGGTCTTGAACTCCTGACCTCAAGTGATCCACCTGTCTCAGCCTCCCAAAGTGCTGGGATTACAGGTGTCAGCCACCGTGCATGGCTTCAACCTGTGGTTTTATGTGCAAGAAAATAGTATCAGAATTGACTTGAATTGGAGGTCACCTAGCTGGTTTCTGCTACAAAATTGATTGCTTTCTTGCTGGCGGTGAGAAATTCTTGGTCACAGAAATCTTGTTTGTGATTATTATTGTTGAGTGAAAGGATAGCTCGCTTTCTCAAAAATACTTTGAATTTTTTTCCCACGCTTCTGACCTACTTTAAGGTACATTTGACTGTAGAAAAACACAGATTTGAAATGCCTGGGTCCATTTACATGCAGATTTTTTTCAATAAATATATCAGAATTTTTTTTTGAGATTTGGAGCAATTTGAAAAACTCAGAAGAAATTTTAACTTTGGTAAGTTGAAATTTACCAAAACTTTCTCTCACACCTTTACAGACCATACATGACACCATTTGCTGTTGACAGAAATGTAAACAAAAATAAAGATGCAATATTCAATCATAACTGCATAAAATTCACTATAGTACATATCTTACTATTGTAACAATTTCATAGCCACCTCCTGTGGCTATTGCAGTAAGCTCAAGTGTTGTGAGTAAGCTCAAGCTTAAAATGTTGTGTCATGCTCACACCTATAATCCCAGCACTCTGGAAGGCTGAGGTGGGTGGAGGCCAACATGGCAAAACCCCATCTCTACCAAAAAATGCAAAAATTAGCTAGGGTGTGATGGCGCACTCCTCTAATTCCAGCTACTTGGAAGGCTGAGGCATGAGAATCACTTGAAATCGGGTAGCAAAGGCTGTAGTGAGCTGAGATTGTGCCACTGCACTCTAGCCTGGGTGACAGTAAGACTCTGTCTCAAAAAAAAAAAAAAGTCATGTTACACTAATCATTACCATTTGAGCTGTTGTCTCTCTAGTAAATTGCGTATTGCAATAAAAAGTGATCCCTTGGGCTGGGTTCAGTGGCTCACACCTGTAATCCTAACACTTTGGGAGGCTGAGGTGGGCAGATCCAGAGGTCAGGAGTTCAAGACCAGCCTGGCCAATATGGTGAAACTCCATCTCTACTAAAAATACAAAAATTAGCTGAGTGTGGTGGCCTGTGTCTGTAGTCCCGGCTACTCTGCAGGCTGAGGCAGGAGAATTGCTTGAACCCAGGAAACGGAGGTTGCAGTGAGCCGAGTTCACGACATTGCACTCTAGCCTGGCAACAGAGCAAGACTGTGTCTCAAAAAAAAGACCAAAACAAACCATAATCCTTCACGGTTCTCACTTGTTTTTCACCCTGTTTAGTGTAATATCATAAATCTTTAATACGACCATGGGAATCATATGAAGTGCCAAAAGTGGTGCTGGAAGTGCACTCGAGAAGCAGAGAAAAGTTATGACATTAAAAGAGAAAGGTGAATATCTGGATATGCACCATAGATTGAGAGGTCTGAAGCTGTGCTTGCCCACTATTTCAGGCAGACTATTCATCTTGTAAACAGATGACATAAGCTTACAATATGGATCAATACAGTACAGTACTTATGTCATGTATTTTCTCATCCTTATGATTTTCTCAATACTATTTTCTTTTCTCTAGCTTACTTTATTGTATGAACACAGTATATAATGCATATCACATACAAATTATGTGTTTCCTGTTTGTTATCAGTAAGGCTTCTGGCCAATGGTAGGCTATTAGTGGTTAAATTTTTAAGGGAGTCAAAAGGTACACGGAGATTTTCTTTTTCTTTTTCTTTTTTTTCTCACGGGGTCTGTGGTCCCAGTGGCTCCTTCAGAGGCTCTAGGGGACAGCCCTCTCTGACTGCCCATCCCTCCGCCCACTCCCTGGGGAGAGGCAGCTTGTCCCCTGCAACCCACTAATGGCCCACAGCCCGAGGCCTCCCGACCCAAGGTTGCTAGCCACCAGAGGTTTCCCTTCTAACCTTCCCCACTCCAAACCGAAACCCGACCACATGTCGGCCTATAGCCTGTCTTGTCTGGGGAACATCTATTTGGCTGCCAGCTGTGGGCCACCTGGAGACCCCACTGCCCCACGGACAGGGTGGCCAGGCCTCCCACAGCACCCATCAGCCATGTGCAGCCTCATCAGGGCCATGCCTGAAACTGTCAGTGCACATGGAGTCAGAGCTTGCCTCAGGGGACAGGAATAGGGTCCCCCCTGGGAAGGAGAGAGGACAGAAAGGGGACATCTTGAAGGCCATGGGATCCTCAGAAGCCCCAGTTGGGGAAAGGTCCCTGACACTTCTCCCTAGAGCCCACCTGTCATCTTTGAAGCCAGGCAGGGTGACCTTCCTCCGGGGACGAGCTCTCAGAACCAGCGGGGGCCAGGAAGTGTCCTGCACAGCAGCAAGACCAGGCTCCGGTGACGCAACACGCTTTGCCGAACGCACGAGGGGCCTCAGTGCCTTCTCTTACGAGGCTGATGGAGCCCCCAGCCAGGCAGGCGCCCGAGTGGAGCTGGCAGCCCCAACACTTCCTGCTTACCGAGTAAGCTGGGGCGACCACTGTCACAGCACCACAGAGTGGTCGGAAGGGCACTCAGACGGACGACCAACGGAGCCCTAAGGTCTGAGGTGACCTGAGCTTGACCCCGCCCCCGGCTCTCAGAGGCTGGCCTGCTGCCTCCCGTAGAGCCACCCACCAAAGTCTGAGGAGGGTCCGGGGAGTGCCCAGGCCCTGCACTGAGGATCACAGGAGCGACCCCAGGACGAGAAAGGGCGCCACTCGGCCAGAGCTGCAGGATGCTGGCCTAGCCAGGTGTGTGGACAGTGCTCACACCCAACACCACCCGAGGCCCAGTAAACCCCCAGCTCTCCCACCAGGAGTTGCTGATGACAAACCTGGAGACTGTCCCCACAGGTCTCAGCCCCTGTGACTCCAGCTCAGTAAGGGGATGGCCAGGAGGACCAGGCTGCTGAGTCTGGAGACCAGGCCTGACACGCAGGCACAAGTGAGCACGCACACACGAGCACGTACACAGGGGCAGAAACACCAACGGATCATATCTACCTTGTAGGTGGTGTTGATGGCGCCCACAGCGTTTGACACGCGGCAGGGGTACACACAGATTTTCAACTGTGTAGGGGATCAGTTCTCCTAATGCCCTCATGGTTCAAGGATCAACTGTACTAAAAGAAAATTAATACCAACCTTGAAATTCTGTACACAGTGAAAATATCACTTAAAAATAAAACAAAATAAATCTTTTCAGAAACCAAAAAGAAAGGAATCTGTCTCTAGAATCTGTAGGAGAAAATACTAAAGGCAGTTCTGCAGACAGAAGAAAACTGATCCCAGATCCCAAAATTAAAGTTTTGCTTGATTTTCATTCTAATGAACCTCTAAAGAATCAAGAAAAAAACAGAGCACAGAAAGGATAAATATGATAAACATGCAAAAAGTAATAACAGTCATTAAAGTTTTGCTAGATTTTAATTCTAATGAACCTGTAGAGAATCAAGAAAAAATGGAGCACAGAAAGGATAAATATGCAAAAGGTAATAATAGTCATGTCTCAGGGATCTTAAATGTGTTGAGCTAAAAACTCAAAAACAAAAGCCCATATATCACAGCGAGAGGAGGCTGGGGATGATGGTAAATACAGTTTAAAAATGCTTTTATGTTTTTATATTGTCCAAACAGTAGAAATGGTAAATGTACTAATTTACATTAAGCTTTATTCTGTCAAGGATGTATGCTGCAACTATGGAATAACATAAAGAATAGTAAAAGAATGTATAGGCCAGGCGTGGTGGCTCATGCCTGAAATCCCAGCACTTTGGGAAGCCGAGGTGGGCAGATAATGAGGTCAAGAAATTGAGACCATCCTGGCCAACATGGCAAAACCCAGTCCTACTAAAAATACAAAAATTAGCTGGGCATGATGGTGCACACCTGTAGTCCCAACTACTCAGGAGGTTGAGGCAGGAGAATCACTTGAATCTGGGAGGTGGAGGTTGCAGTGAGCCAAGATTACACCACTGTACTCCAGCCTGGTGACAGAGCAAGACTCCATCTCAAAAAAAAAAAAGAATGTATAACAATGGCAGGGGGGATAAAAACACTTAATAAATGTAAAAGAAAGAAAGGACATTAAAAATAAACAAATGGTCAAATGGAAAAATGTGGCAGATTTAAACAAAGTATCACTAATTTGTAATTAAATAAAGACTAAATAAAAGCAAACTATAATTAAAGATACAATTGTCAGTCAGATAAATGTTGTATTCTGATTTGCAATTTCATGTCCTGCCATATTCTCCTTTGTTCATCAGTTCTAAGCATACTTAGTCTACTCGAGTTCTGTGATTTTTCCATCTCAGGGTCCTTGCACATAAAGTTCCCTCTGCCTGATATGCTCTTTCTTCTACTCTTCCCATAGTTCTTTAGATAAATCAGAAAAATCTTCTCCAACCACTTTATTATATGAAAAACAGCCCTATTGTTTTCTCATCTTTACCCTCTGTTTCCTTCATAGCACTTTTCACATTTTTTATTTTCTAACTTTTGTCTGA